GGGTCACGAGGCCTGGGGGCGGGGGGGGGGTTCCGGGGAGCAGATGCGGAGCCCAGGAGACAGGGGGTCTTGTGGCGCAGGGGGAAGGGGCTGGGGAAGAGACAGGCAGGACGGGGGATGGGCACGCAGGGGAGCAGGTAGGTATCCCTTTACCTTCTGCGTCCATGGCGACTCGGGCCGCGGGCTGGTGTGTCCGCCGCTGGGATCCACTGTCCCCAGGTCACAGGCTGAGGGTGGGGCTGTCAGAGGAAGGGGCTGGCCCAGCCTGCGGGATCAGCCCTCCCAGGTCCCCTGGACCTCCCTCCTGTCCTCCCTCTGGACCCTGGGGCCCTCCCTGCCTCCCCCGACTCCTGGCCCGGCCAGGCTGTGAATGTACAAACGGGTTCCCCTGTGGTTGGGAAAACCGTGGGCCTGGGGCTCCTTGATCTCACACTTTTTTTTTAAGATTTTTTTTTTTTTTTTTTTGGAAAGGAAGAGTTGGGGCAGGGGGAGATCCATCTGTTAATTTATTCCCCAACTGACTGCAACAATCAGAGCTGGGCCAGGCTGAAACCAGGAGCCTGAAACTCCATCCGGGTCTCCCATGTGGGTGCAGGGGCCCAGGCACTTGGGCCATCTTCCGCTGCTTTCCCAGGCGCATTAGCAGGGAGCTGGATGGGAAGTGGAGCAGCCGGGATGCCTGCAGTGCAGGTGGTGGCTTTACCTGCTGCACCACCACCCGGCCTCTCACTGTTTAACCTTTTCCTGCACCTTAGTTTTCTTAGATAGAAAATATAAAAACAATACAAAATAATCAGAGAAATTCTCCAAAAAATAAGACATTTATTTGGAAATAGTTGGACAGTAAACTCTGCCTAGAGATGCGAGGAAGGTGGTTTTTTTTAAGATTTATTTATTTATTTGAAAGGCAGAGTTACAGAGAGGCAGAGGCAGAGAGAGAGAGAGAGAGGTGTCTTCCATCCGCTGGTTCACTCCCCAGATGGCCACATGACCGGATCTGGGCCAATCCGAAGCCAGGAGCCAGGAGCTTCCTCCAGGTCTCCCACATGGGTGAAGGGACCCAAGGACTTGGACCATCTTCTGCTGCTTTCCCAGGTATATTAGCAGGGAGCTGGATTGGAAGTGGATCAGCCGGGACTCGAACCGGCGCCCATATGGGATGCCAGCACTAGGCAGCGGCTTTACCTGCTATGGCACAGCACTGGCCCCAAGAGGAAGTTTCTAAAGGCACAACGAGGAGCTCACATCAGATATTCTGAAACAGTCATCTCTGGCCACAGTGATTGACAGCGGGGAGACATTCGTCCAAGGCTGAGCAGGCATTGCTGGGTGGAGTCCTTGTCAAAGTCCTTCCTGTGTGAGGCTGCTGCAGCCTCTGGGTGTGGCTCTGCTTTGGGCTGAGTCTGGCGACAGCTCTGTCAGGCAAGGGAGCGTGGGAACCCTTCCCTCATCCCCTCCCAGCATCGTGTATTCAACTGTGGTAGGGTTGTCACAAGCGACTCCATCTTGATTTTTTACAACTTCTACTTTCATCTCAGGATACCAGCCTCTGGGGGCGGCGGCCGTTGGCAGAGCAGGTAAAGCTGCTGCCTACAGTGCTGGGATCCTTTATGGGCGCTGGTTCGAGTCCCGGCTGTTCCACTTTCGATCCAGCTCTCTGCTATGGCCTGGGAAAGCAGTGGAAGATGGCCCAAGTCCTTGGGCCCCTGTACCCACATGGGAGACCTGGAAGAAGCTCCTGGCTCCTGGCTTCGGATCGGCGCAGCTCTGGCCATTGCAGCCAACTGGGGAGTGAACCAGTGGACAGAAGACCTCTCTCTCTCTCTCTCTCTCTCTCTGCTTCTGTAACTCTGCCCTTTGAATAAATAAATAAATAAATCTTAAAAAAAAAAAAAATACCAGCCTCTTGGATCCAGCTCCCTGCTAATGCTACTAGGAAGGCAGTAGATGATGGCCCAAGTGCTTGGACTCCTGTCACTCACGTGGGAGACCCGGATGGAGCTCCAGGCTCCTGGCTTCAGCCTGGTCCAGAACTGGCTATTGTGGTCATCTTTAGAGTTGAAGATAGAAGCGCTCTCTCTGTCACTCTGCCTTTCAAATCAATCGTTCCAATTTTTTTTTTTTAAGTCATGGTCTGTCCATTCATTAATTCATGCATCCCTCCACCAGGGCTGGGCGCTGGCCCCCGGAGCTGCAAAGGCGGCGTGTGACACATGGCCTCGGAGGTGTTCACGCTCTAACAGCGCGCGACACCTCACATAGCTGCAGCCCAATGATTCATGCTGTTGTCACACGCTGAGTGTTGCTAGGGTGAGGGTGGCGGCGGCGGGCCGGGTGGGGGTGGGGGGATGCCAGAAAGGCAGTGACATTTAAGCCGAATCCTGAGGGCGGCCGGGCCAGCTGGGGGTGGACTGGCTCCAGGCTGGGCAAATGGCAGTGCAAGGCTGAGCAGGTAGCTCCCCTGAACTGGGATCCCGGCCACGGTGCTGCCAGGCTGTCCTGGTGCCACCAGCCCTGGGGGGATGGGGCACACAGGCACCCGCAGGCAGATCGTCACTGGGAACACGCAGACTCAGAAACGCCCCGGCTTTCCCGCACCCCGTGGCCTTCCCCAAACGGGGCAGTCACCGGCTGGGTAGACGCTTCAGCCTAAATCCCCCTCCACTTCTGTTTGGCTCTGCTTCTGTTACCACCTTGGGCCTTGTAGAACGTGTAGAACCTTCTGGTTGCCTTGTTAACCAGCCTCGTGCAATTGCCTCCTGGCACCCAGGGTCTGAGCTAAGGAATGGGTTCTGCTTTGCTGTCCCCATCCCCCACCCCACCGCCAGGGCTGCCTGAGGCCAAGTTCGCCCATCCTTCCTCCCCAGGCCTGGTCTGCCCTCCCCGCGGGATCCAGGGCCGGAAGTGGGGCTGCAGAGGACAAGAAGGTGTGACCATTGATGTTCAGGGCAGAACCACTGTTGAGATGCCTTTCCTGACGGTAAAAACCAACTTTAAGGGGCTGGTGCGGTGGCACTGTGGGTTAAAGCCCTGGCCTTAAGCACCAGCATCCCATATGGGATGCCGGTTTGAGGCCCAGCTGCTCTACTTCCCACCCAGCTCCCTGCTAATGTGCCTGGGAGGGCCGTGGAGGATGGCCTCAGCACAAATGTGGGAGACCCGGAAGAAGCTCCTGGCTGCCGGCTTTGTCCCGGCCTAGTCCCAGCTGTTGTGGCCATTTGGGGAGTGAATCAGCAAACAGAAGATCTAGTTCTCCTCCTGTCTCTGTAACTCTACCTTTAAAAATAAATAAAAAGTAAATATTAAAAAAAAAAAAAAAGAGAGAGAGAATATTAGTTACCGAGGCTGGAAGTGACTTAGGCTAGGCAGGGAGCCCCTTGCCAACAAAGGAGCCGAGAGACGGTCTCTGCGCAGGCGCCGTGCACCACTAAAACCCCTCCCCTTCCTGGGTGGTTCAACACGCCCACTCTCCCATGATGCACTTGAGCCTCACTCTCCCATAATGCAGTATACCCAGCTCTACCGTGAGGCTCTATGACACCTTGCCAGATAGAAGCCCCGCCCACACTGCATATATTTGCATATTCAATTAGGACACCACCGCCTGCCCCATGGAAGGGCCACACTCAGCTCCGATGGGGGCGGCGCCCTCTTTCCTCGTGGAGGGCGGCTGCCCTCGACGATGCCTGCGCTTATACCTGCTCTTGATCTCTTTCATAAATCCTGCACTGGTGCTCGCACTTTACCTCTCTTCTTTGAATTCCTCTCACGCCGCTGAGATGGAGAACAGCTTGGAATCCAGCTAGCTAGGGACCCCCGTCCCACAACAGAGTGCACTGGACATTGTGGGGGAGGGGAATGCTATTCTCCCGTCTGGACAAAACATATTTTCAGCATTTTAAATTCTGCCCTCCCTCCCCACAGAAAAGCCCGTGACAAGTCCAAGGCAGGACAGGAGTTGGATGAGGTTGAGAATCTGGGAGCTGGGGACCAGGGCTGACCAGGCGGGGGTGGGACTGGCTCACACACCCTGCCCTACCCTGACGACCCCAGGGGTGCAGGAGCAACACCTGCACGGAGCCTGGGGAATCTTGCTAAGGGCAACTGCTCAGCCGGGTATAACCCCAGGAGCAGCACTGTGGGGCCGGATGGGAGTTCAATTTGGAATTGTTTGAGGAACCTTCCATCCTGGTATCCATCGGCCACGGTGTGTAAGGGGCCGTTCAGACTGAGGTGAGAGGATATTGGTTTACCTTTCCCAGATGATCTGTGATCCTGAGGTTTTTATTTATTTATTTATTTTTTTGCGTACTTGTTGGCCATTTGTATACATCCTTTTGGAAATCGTGTCTTCAGAATGTTTGTCCACTTTCCAGTTGGAGTATTTGTTTTTGTGTGGCAGGGTTGTTTGAGTTCCAAGAGCCCATCAGTGGAGGAATGGATAAAGAAAAGGTGTGGAATCCCCAATGCATCCTGTACTCATGGAATGCTATTCAGCCACAAACAGGGTGGAATCTTGTCATTGGCAACAGGTGGGTGAGCCTGAGAGACGCTATGTTAAGTGAAATAAGCCAGACACAGAAAGATAAATACTACATAATTTCACTCATATGTGGACTCTAAAAATAGTCTGTCTCCAGGGGGACATTGGTGAAGTGACTGATAACCTGCCTGGGGCCGGTGCTGTGACACAGCAGCCTAAGCCTCCGCCCACAGCCCCAGCATCCCATATGGGAGGGGGTTCAAGTCCCGGCTGCTCCTCTTCTAATCCAGCTCTCTGCTATGGCCTGGGAAGGCAGTAGAGGATGGCCCAAGTGCTTGGGCCCCTTTTTCTGGATAGAAGAAGTCCTGGCTCCTGGCTTTGGATCCACTCAGTTCTGGCTGTTGCGACCATTTGGGGAGTGAGTCAGTGGATGGAAGAACTTTTCTCTCTCTCTACCTCTCTTTGTAACTCTGTCTTTCAAATAAATAAAATAAATACTAAAACACACACACACACACACACACAAAGAAATAAACATTTATTGTATAAACTTGGAAAATACAGAAAAGTATAAACAAAATGACAAGCCCACATAAATGTCCCACTTTACACAAAACCACAGCAAACGCTTCGGTGTTTTTTTTTTTCTATAAACATATACTTGTAGCTTTTTGAATTTTTCTGACAGACGAGAATCCTATGTATTTACAAATTAATAACTTGCTTTTGCTTCCTCTCAACCCAGTATTGTAAGCATTCCCCAGTCATTCCCTGGCGTTTGAGGAGACAGTTGTCAGCCAGCACGGCAGGTCCCCATCTTATCCTGGCAAAATCCTTCGCAGCCTGCAAAATCTGCCAGAGGTCATCTCCTCCGTTCATTCCTTAGCCCATTCATTCAAATGAACTTGAACATTAAATTCCGGGCGGCAAGTGGCCACCAGGAACATAGCAGTGACTGTGACCGACACCCCCCCAGCCCCCCCACCCCATCCCACTCCCCCCCAAATTCCAGGAGCCCTCCTTTGGATACACTTGGGAAATTTGGTGTGAGCCTCTATTTTAGCATTTACGATGTTTGTATTTTCTGGCGTCTCTCTCACCAGGATTTGCCGGGGGTGGGGTGGGCACAGAAGCCAGCAGCGCTAGACAGTGGCATGGCTATGGAAGGCAACGGAGGGGGCCGGAGCTTCTAAAGCTGAAATTGGGGCACTTGGTTTGACAGACGTCAGACGGCAGTTGCGGTAGGTCCGAGGGACTTTTGCAGCTCACTTCTGCTATGCCTGGGCTAAACAAAGCAGCACCCCGTGAGAAGGAGGAAGGGGTGCCCAATGTGGCCCTGGAGGTCCCCACCCTGGCTGGTAGGAGGCCAGTTTGCAGCCCAGCCCAGCCTTTCTCCCAGAGCCAAGGCACCACGCGGTGGCAGGTGGCTCTGAGGCCACCTGCTGCCCCTTCTGCCCTCTGCCCACTTCTAACTCCCGCTTTCGTCAGCACCCACACCACCCCAGGCTGCCTGGCCCACACAGCGCTCCAGGTCTGTCTTTGTAGGTCAGGCTGGGTGCTCTCAGCTACTCCACTGACTCAACAACTTCCTCTTTGCAAATCTCCTCTGGGCCCCAGGGAAATAGCAAAGGCCGCTGGCCTGATCCCCCCACCCTACCCCGGGCTGTAGCCTGGGCTGCCCCCAGAGGTGGCACAGGCGGGTCCCATTCTCTCCTCTCTCCTCCATACCTCAGGCCCCTGGAGGAACTGTCTGGCACCCCGGCCTCTCTCCTCTCCCGATTTCACTCTCTCTCTCTCTAATTCCCCTTGGAGGAGGGGAAGTGCTCAGCTCCTAGACAGAGCTTGAATTCAGCATCGCAAGAGGGCGGCTGTGGTTTCACAGCCCTGAACTGCCCCCTACTGGGCGGACTCCCTGCCTGTGCGGGTGGGTGGGTGTGGGCGCGAGTGTGCACTGGAGCGAGGGAGCCTTCGAGGAAGGGGTACGGTGGGGTGGCCAAGCCCAGGCACCTGCAACTTGGGCCACGCCCATGATCTTTGCAGGGACCTTGGCATTCCTCGCTGGGCTGCGGACTGAGCTGTGTTTCCCTCTCTCTGTCTCTCCCTCTCTCTCTCTCTCAACAAACAGGAACACACACCATCTCAGCGGTCCCGGGGCCCCCAGCCTGCACCCCTTCCTGCCCCCTCCCCCGACACTGCCGTGACTCACCACTCCTCTCCACAGGAGGAAAATCGTCAGCCCGCGTCAACCACACTCACCAATGGACCCACACCGGGCTTAAAACTACACCTGGCCAGAAACCCCCCTCCCTCCGCCCTTGGGAGGAGCAGCTACGATGCTTGCATCTGCCATCTGCGGCTGCCCCAGTCCTTGGGTGGGCGGTGGCTGGGGGTGGCTGGGACGTGGGCCAGTCCAGAGTCCACATGATCTGGGAAAGGTGACAGGCCCAGCTCGGGGCACAGCTGCACGGCCCCTCCCGGCCCCACCCAGCCCAGGAACCAGGGCCCAGGACTCCAGGAGGGTCACGGGCTGAGCCGGCGGGACTGTCCTAACCACGGGGCCACATGACCTTTCCATATCCCGTCCGAGGCGGCAGTCTGTGAGCCGGCACTGTCTTCAATTGCCCAGGCTCCAGACTCCCTGAGGGGTCTTCCGAGAAATCCTGGCTCAAATCACGGGGGCGCTCGGGGTGGGTTCCTTGCAGCAGGTTCCAAAGAAAGATGGGAAGAAAGGCGATGCGGCTGGGGTAGGGGATGGGGCCGTGCAGTCCCCGGGGTGCTGAACGCGGAGGCTGGCTGGAGGGTGCAGAAGCGGGGGGGAACGGTTCCAAGTGAGGGTGCAGGTGCAGGATGAGAATCTGGGGGGCAGCTGAACAGAAAAGGCAGGGCCAGGAAGGGGTTGGGAGTGACCGTGGCAGGGAAGGTGGGGGAGCCTGGCGGGGCTCTGGGCTCTGCTCCTGTATTCACAAGCCCTGAGGTGCAGCCCCAGGCCCCACTTCCGGCCCATTGGAAGTGGGGGCATCCTCAACCCCTTCCTCGCTGCCCACCAGCGGCTCCTCCTCCGCCGAGAGGCTAGGGCCTGGCCCGGACCTGAGCTCCTCCAGCGCCACGGAGCACTGGCGAGACTTCGGTCTCCCGAAGAAAGTGGTGAGCGTGGGCCGCCGGCCCGACTCCTCCGTCTTGGGGACCCCCGAGGCCTTGTCACCACCAGGCCCTTGTGCTGTTGCTACCACAGCCTCCTCGTCGGCGACCCGCGCTGGCCCAGCCCAGGCATCCACCACCCCGTTGCGCTCCCCACTTCTGTTCAGCATCAGGATCCCCGTCCGGTGCTTCTGCCTCCGGCGCCACAGCAGGAGCAGTGCCACCAGCACTATGACCATCAGCACGGCGATCAGCACAGCCACCGGCACCAGGCCCCCCGACTTGGATTGGATGCTTGCATTCCCAGAGGGCTCTTCGGTAGTCATCGTGGGAATTTGTTCTGCGGAGCCCCGGGAGCCACTGGTCCCCCTGGAGGTCAACACAGAGCTAGTTGCCATGGCGATGGGAGTTCCACTGGTCCCCCTGGAGGTCAACACAGAGCTGGTTGCCATGGCGATGGGAGTTCTGCTGGTCCCCCTGGAGGTCTCCACAGAACTAGTTTCCATGGTGACAGAGGGTCTGCTGGTCCCCCTGGAGGTCTCCACAGAACTAGTTTCCATGGTGACAGAGGGTCTGCTGGTCCCCCTGGAGGTCTCCACAGAGCTAGTTGCCATGGTGATGGGAGTTCCACTGGTCCCCCTGGAGGTCTCCACAGAGCTAGTTGCCATGGTGATGGGAGTTCCACTGGTCCCACTGGAGGTCTCCACAGAGCTAGTTGCCGTGGTGATGGGAGTTCCACTGGTCCCACTGGAGGTCTCCCCAGAGCTAGCCGCAGTGGTGACAGGGGCTCTACTCCATCCCGAAGCTGGACTTGGGGAGGGCCTAACACTTGTGTTTTGGGGGGACTTTGGGGTGGTTGTCGTAGGCATTTTTTCCGTGGAGACAAGAGAGTCACTGCTGTCACTGGAGGTCTCCAGAGAGCTGGTTGTCATCGGTCCACCTGCCCCAAGGACAGCAAGGTCCCTGGTTGCATTAGAGATTCCCGGGAGCACTAATGGCTTCTCATTAGAAATTTCCTGGGAGGTTGTGGGCCCAGGCCCCAGGGTGCCATTGGTGCCATCAGTGGGAGTCCCAAGAGGGGACTCCTCAGGGTCTCTAAAGTGAGCTGAGGAAGATGAAGGTAGGAGCTGGTCCCCGGTGCCATCAGCCTTCTCGGATGGGTCCCTTGTCGACTCGGAGGAGGTCACAGGTTTGAGGTGTGGGGTCTCAGAGACCGAAGAGGCCAAGGACGCCGTGGAGGCCACAGACTCCGGGCTCACCGCTGGGGGCCAGGAGCCCCCAAAGACGAGGAGGAGGAGGAGCAGGGCCATTTCCTGGGCAACAGGCGTGAGTGGGAGTTGGCGCCTGCGGGTGGGGTCCCTGGAGAAGCAGAGCACACAGGAGCTGGGGGAGGCCCGGGCCAGGCAGCCCCTCCTGCCCACTTCCCTACCAACTGCCAGGTCTAACTTGCGGTTTAACGGCTGTTTCCACCCTTGCCTTCGCTATTATCAGAAAGAACCAGGGAGCAGATGCTGGCAGCTCCCCCATGGACTCCGACTCCCGCCATGGTGGCCACCCGCTCCTGGCCTGGCCTGACCCCGATCAGCCCGATCGGCTCCGCGTCCCCTTTTCCCATCACCTGTCGGGGTCTTTTGGAGCCACAGCCCCGAGTGCTCCTTGTGGCCCCTGCCCAGAAGGTCACAACCCGCCTCCCCGCCCCCTTACCGGATCCGTGGATAAAAGCCCAGAGCTGGGGCAGCCGCTGCAGCTCCTCCTGAGGCTGGGCCAGGACTGGGGCAGACAGGGCCCCAGGGGGACAGGAAGTGGGCCTGGCTCCACCCACCCCACCCTTGCATCCTGCCCCACCCGCACCAGCCAGCGCCTGTGTGATGAGAGCCTGCAAGGGGGCCTGGGAGCTCTGGGGGTTTGGCTGAGGTCAGTTAAGGGTGCAGGTGGGACTCTGCGTGGGGATTTCTGGGGCTTGGCTGGGCAGTGCTGGGGATGAGGTCTGGGGCGATTGGAAAGTGTACTGAGAACAGCGGGGTGCAGGGGAGCAGAAGGGAGAGGTATGCGGTTTCTTTTGCCATCTGTGGTCCCCTGAACTGTTGGGCCAGGACCTGAGTGGCGCATTTCCTGTCCCAACCCTGGCTAGGGTCCGTGAATATTTTTGCAGGCTGGTGAGCCCTTGACCGCACCACAAGGAACCGGGGTCGCCACAGAGGCCCCCAGTAGGGGATGCGTAACTAAGCCACGTGGTGACTAAGGCTTGCATGAGCCAGCATCTTCGATTGGTAAAAGACCAGCCGAGATGCAAACCTTGGCAAGGCCAACCGTCTGGAAAGAGGTCCGCCCAGGGTCTGATGGGGTGGGGCTCTTGGCTTTCTCTTTCCCGACTGTCCCCTGAGGAATAAGCCCTGCCTTGTGGTATGTGGGCAATTTCAGGTTCCGTCTTTCTTTTAAAAAATATCAAGGGGGACCCGGCATTGTGGCGTAGCAGGTAAAACCACCACCGTCTGCAGCGCCAGCATCCCACATGGGCGCTGCTTCCAGTCCTGGCTGCTCCACTTCCTATCCAGCTCCCTGCTAGTGCACCTGGGAAAGCAGTGGAAGATGGCCCAAATGCTTGGGTCCCTGCCACCCATGTGGGAGACCCTGAGGAAGCTCCTGGTTCCTGGTTTTGGTCTGGCCCAGCCCTGGTCTCCCTACCTCTCTGTAACTCTGCCTTTTGAATAAAATTAAAAATAATAAAAAATTTTTATATATTTATTAAATGAGACAGACAGAGGGAGATCTCTCGTGTACTGGTTCACTCCTTAAATAAAATACCCACAATAGCAGGAGTTAAGCCAGGCCTATGCTAGGTGTCAGAACTCCATCTGGGTTTCCCACTTGGAATGGACAGTGGAGCCGGGACTTGAACCCAGGCCCTTTGATGTGAAATGTGGGCTTCCTAGAAATCATCCTAATGGTTCTGCCAGGTGCTGGCCCCCGCCCCACCTCCCTGGGGCTAATTTTCATTTTCCATTATGCACATGGGTTGCTTTTTTTAATTTTTTTTAATTTTTTTTATGACAGGCAGAGTGGACAGTGAGAGAGAGAGACAGAGAGAAAGGTCTTCCTTTGCCATTGGTTCACCCTCCAATGGACGCCCCGGCCAGCGCACCGCGCTGATCCGATGGCAGGAGCCAGGTACTTCTCCTGGTCTCCCATGGGGTGCAGGGCCCAAGCACTTGGGCCATCCTCCACTGCACTCCCTGGCCACAGCAGAGAGCTGGCCTGGAAGAGGGGCAACCGGGACAGAATCCGGCGCCCCGACCAGGACTAGAACCCGGTGTGCCGGCGCCGCAAGGCGGAGGATTAGCCTAGTGAGCCGCGGCACCGGCCCAATGGGTTGCTGTTACAATATAAAAACCGGCTTTTTTTTTTTTTTTTTTTGAAGATTTATTTATTTATTTGAAAGGTGGGGCTACAGAAAGGGAGAGGTGGGGCAGAGAGAGAGAGAGAGAGAGAGAGGTCTTCCATTGCTGGTTCACTCCCCTAATGGCTGCCTCAGCCAGGATTGGGCCAGGCTGAAGCCAGGAGCCAGAAGCTTCCTCCAGGTCTCCCACGTGGGTGGCAGAGTCCACAGGGGCCTGCTGCGCCACAATGCCAGCCCCATAAAAAATGTTTGAAGTTCATAGAAGGTGGAATTAAAAGATAAATTTAAATGCAAAAATTTTTAAAACCTATGCAAAGCTTTTTCTATAATCTGCCTCCCATGGCCTTTGGCCATATTTGAGCTCAGCCTTAATTTTATTTTTTTAAAGATTTATTTTATTTATTTGAAAGCCAGAGAGACAGAGAAAGAAATCCACTGGTTTATTTACCAAAAGGCCACAGTGGCTGGAGGTGGGCTGATCTGAAGCCAGGAACCAGGAACTTCTGCTATGCTACAGCCCTGGCCCCTGAGCTGGGTCTTTAAACAACTAAAGGGAGGGCCTGGCCCTCTGTGGTGCAGCAGGTAAAGCCGCCGGCCTGCAGTGCCGGCATCCCATATGGGTGCTGGTTCAAGCCCCAGCTCTCTGCTGTGGCCTGGGAAAGCAGTGGAAGATGACCCGAGTCCTTGGGCCCCTGCACCGGTGTAGGGGACCTGGAGGAGGCTCCTGGCTCCTGGCTTCGGATCAGCGCAGTGCGCCGGCCGCAGCGCGCCAGCCGCAGTGGCCATTGGAGGGTGAACCAATGGCAAAGGAAGACCTTTCTCTCTGTCTCTCTCTCTCACTGTCCACTCTGCCTGTCAAAAAATAAAAAATAAATAAATAAATAAATAAATAAATAAGAAGTCATCAGAGCTCACAGAGGGTTCCAGGCTTTTACCAAGACAGTAGCTTAGACCCTGATCCTGGCCACACTGGAGCTGGCCCGAAAACCCAGGAACCAGGAAGCCACAGAAGAGGGGTCGAGGCACCTGAGCCGGCTCTTGGCTGCATCCCTGCGTCACCTGTCCTTCAGTGTGACCTTGGGCCAGGCCACTCCAGTTGCTTCGCCTCGGTGTCTTCATTCGTGAAGTGGGGATAATGGCTTATTTTTCCAAGTTCTTGGGAGGATTAGATGAGGCAGTGTGTGGGGCCCTCGGTAAGAGCCCCACAGACCCAGCTGCTCTGAGAGAGAGGAGCCGGTGTTCAGAGCTGCAGGCTCAGGGCGTAGGCCAGCTCCACTCACACCTGTGTGCAGAGACTCGCCCCAGCCCCAGGCCATACCAACAGGATGACCTTGGCCCCGTGAAATTGAACATTCACTAAAATGGCTTTTTTTTTTTAATATATAAGGTTTATTTATTTATTTATTTATTTGAGAGGCAGAGTTACAGACAGAGAGATCTTCCATCTGCTGGTTCACTCTCCAGATGGCTGCAATGGCTGGAACCAGGCCGATCCAAGGTCAGGAACTGGGAGCTTCTTCTGGCTCTCCCACATGGGTTGGCAGGGCCTAAGCACTTGGGCATCTTCTGTAGCTTTCCCACGGGCATCAGTAGGGAGCTGGATTGGAAACAGAGCAGCCGGCACTTGAGCCTGCGATGGCTTGACCCTCTGCATCATCTCTTGTCTAGAGGTGATTTAAAGCTCACAGAGGGATGTGAGTAAGATACAGGCAACTAGCACCCATTATTTAAGGGATTCAGGCCTCCGAGAATTGGGGTGTCCGCGGAGGGTCCCGGAACCCACCCCCTGTGGATACAGAAAGATGAGCAGCCTCTGTGTCTCTCAGGAGGAGTCCGACTTGGACTCAGCAGGAAGGCTGGGGTCCCAGGCTCTGTGGGGACGCGGGGAGGGGGAGTGGACCCTCACTTCTGCCGCTGCCCCACTGACACGGACCCCGGGACTCTACAGAGCCCCTGCCTCCCCCTCCTCTCTCCCTTGCTCTGCCTTTAATCCCCTTCCTACAAGCGAAAGTCGAGCTTAGATTTCCCCCTGCCGCAGCCTTCACCGCTCTCAGGGTGGTCTGGCTGTGTTGACCTTTGACACCACGGATTCCCACGCTGCCCCGCCCCCCCCCGCCCCCCCAGGGCCACCAGGATCAGCCGCTTCCCGGTCCCCTCAGCCCAGGCCAGCGGCTGCGCCCTCAGGGGGATTTCCAGCCAGTCAGAAAAAGAGCTGAGAATCCCTGGGGTTTTGTTTTCATGTTTATCAACGTGGTGATGTGACCTCAGTTCCAGACGCAGAAGTGCCCTCCTGCACCCCCCACTACTGCTTACGTCGTGATCCCAGAAAGGTGCTGAACTTTGTCCAGTGTTGAATCTTTTGGTGGACTCGAAGCCTGGACAACAAGCTAATTTTTTTTTTTTTTGAAAGACAGACAGACAGACACAGACAGATGGACAGAGATCCATCTCTCAGCTGCTGGCTCACCCCTCAAAGGCCCACACCAGCCAGGAGTCAGGAGCCAGGAACTCCATCCCGGTCTCCCACGTGGGTGGCAGGGGCCCAAGGACTTGAGCCGTCACCTGCTGCCCCCCAGGTTGCGCACGAGCAGGAAGGTGGACTCAGAAGCGGAGCCAGGACTCAGACAAGCACCTGCGGTAGAAGATGCAGGCGGCGCGGCTGGTGCTGTAACCACTGCAGCGAATTCCGCTCCTTCTCAGTGAGTGCGCTTTGCTTCCTGTGATCCACTGGCTTCTCACGGGTGAGCCTTCCCCCCCTGCCCCGCCCAACTCAGCTCTACCCCACCTGCCAGGTCAGCTAAATCCCTCTTTTCAGGGTGGGGGGTGGGGAGTGGGACTGTGGTGCAGTGAGCTAAGCTGCCGTCTACAACATCGGCATACCATGGGAGCACTGGTTCGAGTCCCGGCTGCTCCACTTGCAATCTAACTCCCTGCTAATGCGCCTGAGAAAGCAGCAGAGGCTGCCTTGAGTGCTTGGGTCCCTGCACCCACATGGGAGAGCTGGATGGAGTTCTGGGTTCTTGGCTTTGGCCTGGCCCAGGCTCCCATTGCATGGCAGCCATTTGGGGTGTGAATTGAAAACATAAATTCTTCTTTTCCAGTCTGTTGTAACTGACCCTTGATGCTATCTTGGCATCAGTTAGGACACCCCACAGTGCCATGTGGGTAAGAGACTGGACTGCAGGTGGCCACATCCTGGCTCCGCCACTGACTGTGTGACCTTGGGTTACAAACGTAACCTTTCTGTGCCTGAGTTTGGGGCCCCGAAATGCCAGGTGAGGCTTGGCTATAACAATTTTTTTTTAAGATTTATTTTATTTATTTAAAAGACAGAGTTACAGAGAGAGGTAGAGCCAGAGAGAGTCTTGCATCCACTGGTTC